GATCAACATAAAAAGAGAAGTACTGTAAATATAGCATAAACCAGCGACACACAAAAAGCTCTCTTGCATTCATGTATAGATAAACAAAATTAGCCAGAGAGCTAACTTTTTGCTCTGCTTTGTTTAGTTCTTATCTCTTACTTTAGACCCAATAAAAGTTTTATGTGAAATAAATTTTTGGATTAAAAAAGAAGTTTATCATAAACTTATTTGTCAAAAATGTTAAACTTTTTTTAACATTTTTATAGAACTAATGCCATACGATCCCAGGATGCAATGATTACCAGCCACTTACCTATTAAATATAAAAAAGCTTTGCAACTTTTTAACGATATTACTTACATTCCTACAAATATTTTGCAGAAAATCAGGATTCAATTCAATGTAGAGATTAACTGCAATATACTAACCTTTGACCTATAATACTCTAAATTGTATTGATCCTTTTGAAATAACTCTAGAAACAGTAGAGATATTAAGAAGTTAAATAATAACTGAACAAATTGGCTAAAATTTCAAATGACTCATTTCATAAACTTTTACTTAGATCTTTTTGCTGGCGAAGAGGCGATATTGGTCCAATTTATTTTATCTTTTATGTTTTAAATTATTGCTACTATATCAATGATTTCATATAACTAGTACATAAATACATATGTATATTGTACATACATATGTATCTCCCTTTAACCATTAATTTTGTTTTATTTAAAAACACAACTAAATTAAATTACCTCTAATCGATCTCATCAATCAATTAACAAATAAATCACTTAAAACGACTTAGTATTTTTATTAATTTGGCCTTAAAAAAAATTGATGAGAAACTAAATGGTTTTAGACAAATTTTTAGAGAAAAATTTTGTGAAGAATGGAATTTTTAGTGAAACATTTATGGACTATATAGGATTTCTAAGGGTCTAAAATATAAACTAAAGTCTGAACTATAGTATCGACTATAGACTGGCTTATAGTATAGGCCAGAGACTAGACAGTAGGCTATATACTGGACGATAATATGTAACATAGAATAGGCTATAGAATGGACTATAGCATAGACTATAGACCAGACTGGACTATAGTATAGACTATAGTATAGACTATAGATTGGACTACAGTGTATATTATAAAGTGAACTATAGTATAGACTGCAGACTGGACTATAGTATAGAATATAGACTAGACTATAGTGTGGACTATAAACTGGACTATAGTATAGACTATAGACTAGACTATATTATAGTATGGACTGTGCAATAGTATAGACTATAGACTGGACTGTAGTATTACCCATAGACTGGTATATAGTCTTGACTATAAAGTGAACTACAGCATAACTAGCTATTGACTTTATTTAGACTGGACCATAGCCTATACAATAGACTGGATTATAATGTATACTATAAAATAGACTACAGTATAGACTATAGACTGGACTATAGTGTAGACTATAAACTAAACTATAGTATAGTATAGACCATAGACTGGATTATAGTATAGAGTATAAACTGAGCTATAGTATAGACTATAGACTGGGCTATAGTATAGACTAGAGACTGGGCTATAGTATAGACTATAGACTGGGCTATAGTATAGACTATGGACTGGGTTATAGTATATACTATAGACTGGGTTTTAGTATGAACTGTAGACTGGTTTAGACTATAAATTTGACTATAGACTGGAGTATAGTATATACTATAGACTGGGCTATAGTATGGACTGTAGAATAGCATAGACTATAGATTGGACTATAGTATTCCCTATAGACCGGACTATAGTTTACACTATAGATTGTACTATAGACTGGGGTATAGTATAGACTATAGACTGTGCTATAGTGTAGACTACTGACTGGGATATAGTATAGACTATAGACTGGACTATAGTCTACGGTACAGATTGGGCTATGGTACAGACTATAGTATTGCATATACATTGAACTATAGTATTTCCTATAGACTGGTCTATAGTCTAGACTATAAAGTGAACTACATCATAGACTATTGACTTTGTTTGAGTGGACCATAGCTTAGACTATAGACTGGACTATAATGAAAACTATAAACTAGACTTCAGTATAGACTATAGACTGGACTATAGTGTAGACTATAAACTAAACTATAGTATAGACTATAGGCTGGATTATAGTTTAGAGTATAGACTGGGTTATAGGATAGACTATAGACTAGGCTATAGTATAGACTACAGACTAGACTGGGCTATAGTATGGACTGTACAATAGCATAGACTATAGATTAGACTATAAGTATTCCCTAAAGACTGGACTATAGTTTAGACTATAGATTGTACTATAGACTGGGCTATAGTATAGAATACAGACTGGGATATAGTATAGACTGGACTATACTATAGACTATAAACTGTACTATAGTATAGACATTAGTGTGGACTATAGTATAGACTATAGACTGAGTTATAGTACAGAGTATAGACTGGGCTATGGTATAGACTATAGACTGGACTATAGTCTAGGGTATAGATTGGACACTGGTATAGACTATAGTATTGCATATACACTGAACTATAGTATACAGTATATATACAGACTATGGACTACAGACTATATTATAGATTGTAATCGTGACTATATATGGTATAGATATATAATAATGTATAGTTTGGATCTAATCTTAACCTTAACTAAGTTTACCTTATAATTTACCTTATTCTTCAGCATTTCTCCAGTTCCTATTACCATATTCTTTTCTCAATAAAAACTCATTTCATTTAATATTTTTTAAAATATTTATTTTTCTCTTTAGAATTTTATCATTTCATTTCTTTTTCCTTAATATTTAGTTTCTTTTTTTTCATTTTCTTAAACCAAATTAAAAATTAAAATAAAAAAATATATAATATTTTTATATATGTATATAGAAAAAATAATAAAACAAAATTATAACTAATTAATAATAAATAAAAAGAATTTTAATTTTAATATTATAAAATTTACAATAATTTTTTTGTTGGTTTTAAATTTAATAATAATTTTTTTTCAGTTTTATATATATTTTTTTATTAAATTTTGTTTTTATAAAAAAAGTCAGTAGAGGAAGTTTGTTTGTAGAATTTTGTTTATAATTATTATTATTATTTTTTTTAAATATAATACACATTTACAAAATTAATTTTAGTTTTTATAGAGTTGTTTCATTTTGTGGGGGTTTTTTGGTTGTTAAAAAGGGAAATTTTAAATGAGTAGAGTGTAAAAAGAAGGAATTATGTAAAGGGATAAAATGATCAAAATAAGATGGAGAGTATCATTATCACTAATTACAATTAAGTGAGAAATCACTAATCACTAATCATGCTCTTCCCGTTTAGAATTGTTATTTAGTTTTAAAGCAGTGATACACAAAGAGCTCTCTTGTTTACTCTCCTGCACTCACACTTGTATGAAAGACAAGCAAAACCAGTTTTCTGCTTGTTTTGTCTGCTTCTAACAATAATGTTAGAGAGCAAGAGAGCTTTTTGCCGATACCAGCTTGAAAGTAAAATTTTTAAAAATAATTAATATTTAAAGAGAGAAAATACTTCTTTTATAAGTAATAAGTGAGGTGACTTTCATTTAGTTGTGTTTACAAGACTTTGTTGACACAACTAAATAATATGTTGAGTAATTATTTAAGCATTAATTTAAACTGTTTACATTTGTATACAAAAATTTGAGGTAAACAACTTTTTTTGTGTTATTTTTATTTTGTTATAAGAGATTAATTGGGTTTTTTTACATTTTAATAAAGAAAGAAGGACTTTGAGAAAGAAAATAAATGCAGGCATTTTTTTGCTTAATATGTTTTATTATATCAGAGTAAGATTTCTCTTATATTTATACTGGGAGTATATGGCTTGTAATTTTTTTAAATATTGTTTTTTTTTTTAATTTTTATAAGTTTATTAGTTTAATACTTAGGCAGTAGTTTGTCAAAAAAAAAAAATCATTTTCATGTTTTTTTTTTCTTGCAAATATGTATATATGACAGTGTTTCTTTTTTTATATTTTTAATAGTTTCAGTTTATAGGGTTTTTGTTATAAATAATTAAATTAAAATAAATATTTACAATAAACTTGTTGTTACTTTTTCGTTTAATTTTTTGTTTTAAATTTTTTAATGCATTTTTTTTACTTTTTGTTTATAAAGTGTTTATTTGTATGTGTTTAAAATATATATTTTAAATAGTCTTTGTTTGTGTTAGTGTGTTTTTAAATTTAATACATTTTTTTCTCTTCTTGTTATTTATATTGTATGTAGAGTGTGGAAAAAAATATATATAAGATAATACATACATTATTTTTACTTGCTTTTTTTTGTTGTTATTTTTTTATTATTATTATAAATTTACATATCCTAAATTCTAGTCACTGGGGTTAAGTAGTGTTTTTTTGTCTCTCTTTAGTTGCAGCTGTGTGTTTTTGTTTTAAATTTAAAGCAGCCCGTATAATTCTTTTTTTGTATGAGATTTCAGTTTTATTTTTTTTTTCTTTTCATATATTTTATAAGTTTGTCATAAAAAAACTCCAAAGGAAAATGTTAATAATGGAAAAATGTTGAGGGTTTGAAGTGAATAGAATTATTTTCAGGAAAAAGAGTGCATTTTCTGAAAATATTTTTCAAAATATTTAATCACATTGCTTAAGTTGTAAGCTATAATATTAGGCAATTGTATAGAGGAAATTGCTTCTTAGCAAAATCGAAGCCATTCCTTTATCATCGTAGAATATTTATGAAAAGTGTTGAGCCCTTCAGCTCCTTTTGTTAGTAGCCTATAGTATTTTAAACAAACAGACAGACAGATAAACCAACAAATAGATGAACGAACAGGAAGACTGAATGATAGACAGACAAAAAGACAGACAGACAGACAGACAGGTAGGCAGGCAGACAGACAGACAGACAGACAGACAGACAGACAGACAGACAGACAGACAGACAGACAGACAGACAGACAGACAGACAGACAGACAGACAGACAGACGGACAGACAGACAGACAGACAGACAGACGGACAGTGCGGCTGGCAGGCAGACAAACAGATGGATGGACTGACGGATGAACATAGAAAGAAAGACTGAATGATAGACAAACAGGCTGAATGATAGACAGATAGACAGAAAGACAGACAGACAAAAAGATAGATGGATGAACATACATGTCTAGATCGCCTTAGAAATTATAACAATAATATATATATCCTTGAAGATTTGTGACTTTTTTTTTGGAAATTCTTTCCATGTTGCCATTACTGAATCCACAGCTATCCAAAATTTGGTTGTGGCAACTACATAGTTGAATTGTTTAACCAATATATTTCATTGTCATAAAAATACTGTTTTCTCTGCGAGCCTATGGAAGGAAGAGTTCACAGTATCGACTTCACAGTTTTCGTAGTAAGTAAAAAGGATAAAAATGTTGAAACAATTTAAAAAAAATCTACAAGGTACTCCATAGGTACTTAAAACTATATCTTCCGTATTCATATACAAAGTCATTCCGAACTAATTTGAGAGGAACTAGTTCTTACGGAGAGTTGAAAATAGATTTATATTGTCTTTTTTAGAAGTGCTTAAATTATTCAATTAATTTCATGTCGAAACCCAGAGACTAAAATATACTTTTAGCAGCGCTGACTCAAAATTTCTGTATCACATCAGATTTTGTAGATATCGTGTCATAAAGATTGGAAAAAGAGCACCAAAAGAACTTTATTTCAAAAAAAAAAAATTGTTGTGTTATATGAGAGACCAATCTGTCGTATTTAAAATAATGTTTTTTTCGATTTAATGGACACGATATCTCGAAAACCTATTCAACGCATCTCAATCCTTTAGAAAAGTATACTTTGGTTTCCGGTTTAAAAATGTGTTGAAATGTGTTATCTAAAACTGTAGATTCTTATTCTCACATTATAAAATTAACTTTAAACAACTGTTCACATTCGCGAACACTTATCCAACTGTTGCAAATATCTGAAGTTGCTTTAAATTTTCAAGTTTTGCATCGTTTGATCCTTAGTAGTCTTTGTAATGCACAAATGTAGTCAGTCGATGCTATAGTAATCTAGTGGGGAAACATTAATTATAATAGATTGTAAAAAAAGTTTACTCGCGAATAATTTATTTGAATTGATAAACATTCGTATTTACTATTTCTATGTGAGGCATTATTGTTCATAAACTAATACACAAAAGAGTTGCTTGAATAAAATTCAAGCATATTTTCTGGGAATATATATTTGCATAAAATCGTATGTATATGAGATAAGTTCTGTGAATATTTGCGAACCTTTTTCTAAAGTTCGTTTATGAGATGATTCTTTTTAAGTAGTGTTTATTAGATGAAGTATGAAATTTTTTTCTAAACGGTATTAAAAACGAAAACTAGTAAGTAAGAACAGTCGAATATGGTCCACCATGATAGCATTTTAAACATATATTAAACCAGCTCTGTGAATATTTGCGAATCTTTTTCCAAAGTTAACTTGTGAGATGTTTTTTTCAAAAATTATTTGAGTAATGTTTCCTACATGAAAAAAGAAAACTGATAAAGAAGTATAGTTGGACATGGTCGAATATATACAACTCTACAGCAGTTATATGATTTTTATACCATTCCTATATATAAGAAACCTGCTCAACGAATATTTGCGAATATTTCTCGAAAGTTGGTTTGTGAGACGCTTTTTTCAAAAATTATGTGAATAGTGTTTCCTAGATGAACTAATCTATAGAATTTCCTTTTTAACGATATCAAAAAAAAAAAAAAAAAGAAAACTGGTTGGAACATATGAAACCCTACAGCAGTTAGATGCTTTTTATACCATTAATACATATAAGAAACTAAATCTGCAAATATTTACGAATCTTCTTTCAAAGTTGGTTTGTGAGACGCTTTTTTTCAAAAATTATTTGAATATGGTTTTCTAGATGAACTAATCTATGGAATTTCCCTTTTAATATTATTAGAAAAAGGAAAACTTGTAAAAAAGAGTAGTCGGATATAGTCGACTATATGAAACCCTACAGCAGTTATATGTTTTTTTTATGTCAGCATTTATAATATTCCTCATATTCATGAATGACTCGCTTTACATTTATGAGTGAGAATTTGTATACATACAGGGGAGTAGATTAAGTTATACCCGTCCGTCAGTCTGTTTATTTATAGAATTTAAAATCAGTAAAATTGGTCCATAAATAATGATAATATGGGTAAATAATAAATAATATGGGTAATATGGGTAAAAATTTTTGTCATTACACATTTTATTTTCTTTTTATACACAAAAAGTTAACGTCTGAAAACTAAACGTTAATTTGAAAACTATCGTCTGAAAACTACATGCTTTTATTGTTCTGTTTTTATTCTGTCACAGCTAACAACTAATATCAGGAATGGAACTAATTTTTGAACAAAATTTGTTAAAAATAAATAAAATTTACAAAAATTTTAAAAAAGTATAAAAATTTTCAAAATTTAAAAAAATAACAATTTTATAAAGAATCGATTTTAAATATTTTCAAGAAGATATCTGATATCTGTAGTTAGATTACAAGCAGTCGAAGGGACAGACAGACGGACGGACAGACAGACAGACATACATAGCTAAACCGACACAGAAATTGAATCCGAATAGATTAATATACGACTCAATTCATATTTTAAAGTAACTTGTAATACCACCCCTACATAGGGGTGTAGGGTACAAAAAAGCTAGCAAAGTTAACAAGAAACCGGTTCCAAAATAATTTTGTCATCATGAAATTAATCAGATTATACAACTTTCAATGTTAAACTATTTTTCCTTAAAAAATTTTTCAACACATTCTTTAAAAAGTGATCAAAGCAATCAGAGGAAAATTAAATAATTTAAATTGTTAAAATTAAACTAATGCTCATAAAATTAACATCTAAATCAGAACATAAAAATCTAAAAACTCAAAAAACTTTCAAATAAATTCTATAGCTAAAAGTCGAAAAAAATCTAGCACAACTAACCTTTTTCTTGACAAGGATCCTCAAAATACAAACAAACAACTTCAAACTTCAAGCACTCCTTTTTTTCCAACAGAAAAATAAATAAACACTCATTTTCATTTTTGTTTAATTTTTCAACTATTTACATTTTCCTTTTACAGAATTTTTTTTATTATTCTTTATTCATAATTTTTCATCAGTATCGTTATTCATTTACACTTTTTTCATTCATTTTATTAATTATAATTTTGTTTTATCACTTTCGTACTAAATAATATAAAAAATAATAATAATAAAAATACAACTTAAATATAAACTTAAAAATTATAAGGAAATTATTATAAAAATAAACAGGAACCAGTCCTTATAAATATATAAATACAAAATAAAAACGCATACACTCTCAGTCGTTTATTAATATTTTAACTCTCTTTTGCTCTTCGTTTCTTGCTTTATACTCTTTTGTTAGGAAAATTTACACAATTTGTTTGTTTGGGGTAACTAAACTTAAGCAAACATTTAAAAATTATTTAATTTATTATTAAAATTTATTTTTGCAGTTCTAATCAGTACGTTTTTGTTGTTGTTGTTGGGTTTTCTTTAAAAAAAAGTATTTTTTTTGTTTGTGTTAGTAAAAATTATTATTAATTTTTTTTTTGTTTATTTTGCACTATGACTATAAAATGTGTTTGTATGTGTGTTGGTTTAGTTAGAGAAAAAATTACACTAAATAGGCCTGCACATGTGGTCCTTGTTGTTGACCAGGCTGTATTGTTTGGTTGTTGCTACTACTACTGCTGCTGCTGGAGCCGTTAGGGTTGGCTGTAGCTTGAGGCTGCAAGGTTTGAGCGGCGCCCGGATGTTGTAGCTGTGGATCTATAGCACTAAGGGCACGTTGTTTTTGATTTGCTTGAGGTCGCCAGGTTTGCGACATATTTGCTAAATGTTGCTGCTGTTGTTGGTGTTGCTGCTGCTGTTGCAGCTGGTGAGGGTGTATATTGCGATGCAGACTATTTATGCCCACAGCACCAGTAACTGCCGAAGGTGAAGGTGGTGCTGGTGGCATCATTAACATTTGCTCATTATCCAGCGTTGAGTAGTCCGAATCAATGCTGGAGTATATATGCTCTGAGGGAGGCCTTTGCACATAACCCGCTGTGGTTACAGCTTGATGATGATAATACTGGGGCACTGCCTGCTGCACAGCATTTGGATGTAGATGTGAACTATTGCTGGGATGATGTAAAGTACTGGAGTGTTGTTCTCCTCTTCTTTGGGGTCGGGGAGAAGGAGTGGCTGTAGTGGCAGAGGAGTAGTTTTGTTCACCTTCTCCCTCAGGGCAATAGGCAGGTGGTGGGGCAGGTCTATATAAAATACCAGGACTGGCAGGCTGTTTAATACGTTCATGGTTATGATCCAAAGTATAGTTGTTGCCCGTGCGATAGTCAACAGGCAGAGCATAGCGCAGTTTCTCCCAAAAGTGGCGATCACTGCGTCTTATGCGTTGTACAGCTGAAGTCTTCAAATAAGGCAAAAGTTCTATATCATTTTCGGCCTCAAACACTGCCTCAGGTTCTTCTATAACCACCAGTTTTTGAGGTCTTCCTCGGAGAGCGTCATGTAAGGCCCTTCTCAGTTCACATCTTGACCATTCGGTTTGCAGGAAATTTCTGGTAAGTAAAATAACCACTCGTCGAGATACTCTAGAGGCTTCTAAGATTTGATAATGAGTAGCATCATGTGATAGATCTCTGTGCTGCAAACATATGCGCAAAGGAGGTCTTCCGGTTTCCAGCTCAGCCACTAAATACTGACTCACAAACTCTGAATCCTTGGCAGAGTGTAGCAGTATGGCATCGTACAATTTTTCAGATTCTTCACAACGTGGTCCAAAAACTCTAACACCATAGTGAGCAAATAGCCAGATACGTAAAGACTCACGGAAAACAAAGATAATAATGACCACTATAAGCAGGAAAACTAAAGCTAAGGCTGCAGCCAGCAGAGGAATGTAAGTCTTTGGTATGCCATGTTGCAGCATAGAACCACCAGCATAATAATCACTGCAGGCGGCTGTAACATTAAAATCCAATTCACGTTTACGATTGCCGGAGGCTAAACTGCCCACACCACCACTAGCACTACCCAAAGTAGAGGCATATATGCCAGAGGTTTCTTCCATACAGTAGATATCCTGGGAATCTTGCACAATGACAGCATTGTCGGCCACATATGAAGTAAGTTCTTGCAAAAATTTACAACGACACGACCAATGATTGCGACCCAAAGCAATGTTACGTAAAGCTTTGAACTGAGGCAGCTGTAATTGCCAAATGGGCAGAGTAACCAAACGATTGCCATCCAAACGTAAAACCTCCAAAGACTGCAAAGGAGCTAAGGTGGCATTTTCTATAGAGGTCAACAGGTTGTTGTGCAGATATAACTCTTTCAAGGCGGATAAATGTTCGAATTCATAACCCTGCAAGGTTTGCATTAAATTATCTTCTAAATGTAAAACCTGCAAGGATATCAAACCAGCAAAGGTTCTATTCTGTATACTGGCCACACGACTGGCATTAACATACAAAGATTTCAGGTTTTTGCGGCCTATAAAAGCATGATTTTTCAGCACTGGGAAGTTATTGCCATCCAAATACACCACACTGGAATCCATGGGTACTCTTCTGGGTAATTCCATAGTTTGTTGGCCACCACAGTCAACCACATTGGTGGACCATATCTGATCATGATAACAGGTGCAATTGTTGGGACAAGTCATTTCACAATCACAGGCATCAAAGTCACAGCAGTGGCACAAGGCAAAGCAATGCGAATCGTAGCGACACAGGAAATCTTGAGGTTTCAAAGTACCCAACGAGCGCACAGGAGCTCCTCTAGCATGAGGCATAACACATTCTATATTGGCTAAATCCATAACACGAGGATGTTGCCGGGTAGTTAAGTTATTAATACGCTGCAGCCAATCCATGGTGCAATCACACTCAAAAGGATTGCCTCCCAAGTAAAACTCAGGCAATTGCTTTAAGGGACCCACTGGAGCCACCCTCAATTGTTGTAGTTGTAATTTAGACATGGCATTAGCATATAAGTCAACTCTGGCCAGATTCACTTTATCCACAAATGTATTAGGATGGATGGTGTTAATGAGATTGTTATTGATGAAGAGTAGCTCGATAGTATTGGGTATAGACATAGGACCTATTTCCGTAATACGATTATGACTAGCATCCAAAGTTTTAACACGTATTTCCTCTTGTAGTTTGTAATAATTGCCCAAGGCCTCTATATAATTGCCATGAATATCCAGCCACTTAAGATTAGAAGGTATGAAGGCATAATCAAACCAAACCAAATGATTCTCTGACAGATTTAACCACAGCAAAGACATTAAGGTAGCAAACACACCATTAATATCCGATAAGAAATTACGATCCAAACGTATGGCCTCTAGCTCATAATTCTTATCAAACGAGCCACGTTCTATGCTTTGTATACGATTCTTGGCCAAATTTAAAACACTTAAACGGGAAAGATCAGCAAACATGCCCACTGAGACATTGCCGATTTGATTGTCAATCAAACGTAAACCGGTTAGTTGATGCAGATTCTTGAAACTATCATTATCGATAGTGCGTATTTGATTTTCACCCAAATCCAAGGTGCGTAACATCGATAGATCCTGTATAGCTTTGGGCACCTCATTCAATTGATTAGAGCTCAAATCAAGTTCTTTTAAATCCGAGCAATTTTTGAATATATTAGGTTCAATAACACTAATCAAGTTATTGTTTAAAGTCAATTTGGATAAAATATATAAACCATTGAACAGTTTATCATCCAAAGTATGTAGACGATTCTCAGCCAGATTGAGAGTATGTAAATTATATAAAGGCAGGAAGGAGTTTTCTTCTATATGGCCTATAGAGTTGTTGCGTAGATTGAGATTTTGCAGGAAATACAACTCCTTAAAAGTGCGATAGTCTATACGTGTTAAGGCATTATGGGCCAAATTCAATTCTATCAGCCTTATCAAGCCAGCAAAAGTGGTATTGTCTATGTGATTAGAGGTCAATTGGTTGCCTGACAAATCCACCACCAGCAATTGCTCTAAACGATGAAATAATCCTTTGGGTAGTTCATATAGCTCATTATTTTTTAAATGGATTTCACGTAATTCCTTGGAACCAGCAAATAAACCTTCAGGCAAGGTCTCTAAATGGTTATTGCTTAAATTAACAATACGCAAAGAGGACAAACCCGCCAAGGCTTCACCAGACAACTCCGAGATGTTATTATGCTGCAGATTAAGTTGTTGTAAACGTCTCAATCTTGAGATACCCCAAGATTCCGTTATGGATCTCAATTCATTAAAACTGGCATCTAAAATCTGTAATTCACTGCCACCATTACAATTCATATCAGCAAAACCCAAATTTTCAGCAGCTCTAAAGCGGTTATGGGTCAAATTCAATATTTGTAAATTACCCACTGGACATAAGAAGCCCAAGGGTAAGGCTCTCAAATTATTATCCGCCAATTCTAGCTCCGTTAGCTGCTTTAGGCCATTTAAAGAATCGGGAAATAATTCCAAAGTTTTGCTAGGACCCCATTCTGAATTGTGGGTATTTATGCTTAATGTCTTGACCGTATTCAGACCCTCAAAAGCATTATTGGGCAATTGCAATAGTTTACAAGAAACCAGTTTCAATTCATCCAATGTCTGCAGGCGAGCAAAGGCCGCTTGTGGCAGTTGTGATTCAAATAAATACAAATCACTGCATTTTATCTCCAGCTGGCTAAAACCATCAGCACCTTGTAAATCCAATGCCAACGAACGTTCGATCAAACGTAAATTACATTTAACTGATGTGGTACCATTGTATTGCCAGGAACATTGATTCGTAGAGGCTGGCTGTGTGGTGGCGGCCAACTGTTGTTGAACGGATGTGGCAGTGGCCAAAGCGGCTACTTGAGCTAAATTTGTGGCTTTAACTGTATAGTATCCAAATTGCAGAAAAAGCAGTATAAACAAATAACTCCATAAATGATGAAATGCAAAATGCTGTTGTTGTTGTAGTTGTCTCAAATGCATTTTCATAAATTTGAGCATTTTAGCAAAATTTTGCTTTTCTTTTTTTTTTTTTTTTTTGGAGGGGGTTTAAGGAGAGGCGGGAGTTTGATTTTTTAGTTTAAATAGTTTTCATAAGTAGTTTAGTTTTTTTTTTGGTTTAAAGTTTTTTTCACTTTTTTTAGGTTGATTGGTTTTTTATTAGGTGTTTTGTAGTAAACAACATGTTTTTATACTTTTTTCAAATTTTGTTTTCAATTTTAGATTTTTGTTATTTTATTTCACATTTTTGTTGCAATTTTATATTCTTTTTAATTTTTTTAAAAATTCCACTCTTTTTTCAATTATGTTGTTTTTTCTAACAACTTCTTTTTCTCAAAATTTCTTATTTTTCTTAAGTAATTTTTTTCTATTTCCAAAAAATTTTCATTCACAAAATTTCGTTCTTTTCGTTTTTTTCCTTCGTTTTTCACTTGTTTAAATTTTCCTTCTTTTTTTCATACGTTTTGGTTTAAGGAAAAAATGGATTTTTTTCTTTTATATATTTTCTTTCGTTTTTATATCATGTATGTGTGTGTGTGTATGTTTATTTGTATGTTTTCACGTTTTTTGTATTGTATAGAGTTTTAGTTTTTGATAGAAAACAAAAAACCGATTTTTTCAATATATTGAAAATGTATGAGAAAAATTGCCCGTCATTACACGTCCGTTCTTTTAGATGCTCGGACTCGAACTGATTTGTAAAAATTTCAAACATCAAATATGCCATGAATTTGTGTTCCTATAATACTTGCAACAGCCATATACTTCGTTTCTACAACATAGAGAAAACAACAAGAACAACACACATAAATATTTACACTCGTTGTACAATACAAGAAAATAAAAGTATAATAAAGAAACGAGAGTAATAACTAAAGTAGAGAAAACACACTCAACCAAACCCTTAATAAAAGAGAGGCGAAAAGTTTCTGCTCTCTAAAGTAAAAAAAAGAGAGTGAAATTAAAACATCATAAAGCAATAACAAAAGTAATAATAAATACAACTTCTATAACAAGCATTTTAAAAGAATACGTTCCCTGACAGAAGATTATTCCTTAGAACCTTTCCCTTTTCCTTCAACTTATATATTTGACTCCTACAATTACTTAAACTCTAATATATTATAGTCCTTTTTAAGTTTTTCCTATTATATACACTAGCGCCACCTTGCGTTATTTTCTGGAACTTCCCTACACATTTATATCCTTTAAAACTCAAAATTACTACCACCTCCACTTTAGCTCTCTGATTCTCTCCACATAATAGCCACAAATCCTGCCGCTAAAACTCAAAAGGCGCTGCAAATCCTTTATATTAACATTCTCTTCAAAAAAGAGCCGCATAAAAAAACTCTTGTTAAGTTCTCTTACTTACTCTTTATTTTTACAAATTACTCTCTTTGAGTGTAATATCTATAATTGAGTTTTAGCGTTAATTAAAAGAGTTTTGAACTTCTATTTATGTGTGTCTTTTTAATGAAGTGTATAATAATATTTTTCAAAAAAAAAAATGTTAATTTGTTGGGGGGGTTTTCTTCTATTTTCTGTTCAATGACAGACATTTTTGATAAAAGAGTTTTTTTTTCAAGAACAGAAGAATTATAAAAGAAATTTCCTCAAAATCTGGAAATTATGAAAAATAAAGTTTCTGATAACAATCGCATACCGATTAGCATGATACTCAATAAAAGGCCCCATGGAAGCTCTTAAATATGGGAAATATAGAAAAAGGAAAAAATATTTTATAAAAAATTTTACTTTTGGAGGAAAAAATCTTCTTTAGTAAAAAATTAACAGAACTAGAACAGAACTAGTACAGAACCTAGAACAGAACTAGAACAGATACTAGAACAGCTAGAACGATCTAGACAGAAACTAGACAGAACTAGATAACTACAGAACTAGAACAGAACTAGAACAGAACTATAACAGAACTAGAACAGAACTAGAACTAGAACCGATAGAACAGAACTAGCACAGAACTAGAACACGAACTAGAACAGGAATGCTAGAACAGAACTAGAACAGAACTAGAACAGAACTAGAACAGAACTAGAACAGAACTAGAACAGAACTAGAACAGAACTAGAACAGAACTAGAACAGAACTAGAACAGAACTAGAACAGAACTAGAACAGAACTAGAACAGAACTAGAACAGAACTAGAACAGAACTAGAACAGAACTAGAACAGAACTAGAACAGAACTAGAACAGAACTAGAACAGAACTAGAACAGAACTAGAACAGAACTAGAACAGAACTAGAACAGAACTAGAACAGAACTAGAACAGAACTAGAACAGAACTATAACGAATAGAACAGAACTAGAACAGAACTAGAACAGAACTAGAACAGAACTAGAACAGAACTAGAACAGAACTAGAACAGAACTAGAACAGAACTAGAACAGAACTAGAACAAACTAGAACAGAACAAACTAGAACAGAACTAGAACAGAACTAGAACAGAACTAGAACAGAACTAGAACAGAACTAGAACAGAACTAGAACAGAACTAGAACAGAACTAGAACAGAACTAGAACAGAACTAGAACAGAACTAGAACAGAACTAGAACAGAACTAGAACAGAACTAGAACAGAACTAGAACAGAACTAGAACAGAACTAGAACAGAACTAGGAACAGAACTAGAACAGAACTAGAACAGAAACTAGAACAAGAACTAGCACAGAACTAGAACAGAAACTAGAACGACTAGAAACAGAACTAGAACAGAACTAGAACAGAACTATACAACAGAACTAGAACAGAACTAGAACAGACTAGACGACTAGAACAGAACTAGAACAGAACTAGAACAGAACTAGAACAGAACTAGAACAGAACTAGAACAGAACTAGAACAGAACTAGAAAACGAGAACAGAACTAGAACAGAACTAGAACAGAACTAGAACAGAACTAGAACAGAACAGAACAGAACTAGAACGAACTAGAACAGAACTAGAACAGAACTAGAACAGAACTAGAACAGAACTAGAAAAGAACTAGAACAGAACTAGAACAGAACTAGAACAGAACTAGAACAGAACTAGACAACGAACTAGAACAGAACTAGAACAGAACTAGAACAGAACTAGAACAGAACTAGCACCGACTAGAACAGACTAGAACAGAACTAGAACAGAACTAGAACAGAACTAGAAAGAACTAGAACAGAACTAGAACAGAACTAGAACAGAACTAGAACAGAACTAGAACAGAACTAGAACAGAACTAGAACAGAAACTAGAACAGAACTAGAACAGAACTAGAACAGAACTTAGAACAGAACTAGAACAGAACTAGAACAGAACTAGAACAGAACTAGAACAGAACTAGAACAGAACTAGAACAGAACTAGAACAGAACTAGAACAGAACTAGAACAGAACTAGAACAGAACTAGAACAGAAACTAGAACAGAAACTAGAACAGAACTAGAACAGAACTAGAACAGAACTAGAAACAGAACTAGAACAGAAACTAGAACAGAACTAGAACCAGAACTAGAACAGAACTAGAACAGACTAGAACAGAACTAGAACAGAACTAGAACAGAACTAGAACAGAACTAGAACAGAAACTAGAACAGAATAGAACAGAACTAGAACAGAACTAGAACAGAACTAGAACAGAACTAGAACAGAACTAGAACAGAACTAGAACAGAACTAGAACAGAACTAGAACAGAACTAGAACAGAACTAGAACAAACTAGAACAGAACTAGAACAGAACTAGACAGAACTAGAACAGAACTAGAACAGAACTAGAACAGAACTAGAACAGAACTAGAACAGAACTAGAACAGAACTAGAACAGAACTAGAACAGAACTAGAACAGAACTAGAACAGAACTAGAACAGAACTAGAACAGAACTAGAACAGAACTAGAACAGAACTAGAACAGAACTAGAACAGAACTAGAACAGAACTAGAACAGAACTAGAACAGAACTAGAACAGAACTAGAACAGAACTAGAACAGAACTAGAACAGAACTAGAACAGAACTAGAACAGAACTAGAACAGAACTAGAACAGAACTAGAACAGAACTAGAACAGAACTAGAACAGAACTAGAAGAGAACTAGTTACATATGTATATCTGAACTAGAACATTCAATAAAAATGTTTAAAAAGTTTGGTTTATATTCTATGAAAGTTAACTTTTCATTTAAATATTTTAAAAACTTTATTGTCATTAAGGTGAATTGCTAAAATTAGTCATATAATTTTTATAGGAATCAAAAAATTAACTAATAAATTAATTCATTCTATGTCACTACTAATCAGATTTCTTTCTCTATCTCTCACTCCCTCTGATTTTGATATTTACCTCCATAGCTATATCTATTTCCTGCCTTGGGTATTGAAAGATTTTCCACACATTGCCTTCGATTAATCAAAAATAAAAAAATTTAAACAAGAAAATAACAAATCTTTTTTGAAAACAATAATTCTTATTTTAAGACCTACAACATAATCTGCTTACACTTCATCCTAACCGAAGTAAAAAGAACTAGAAATTTAAAGAGTTCTTTAAAAGATTTCAACAAATGTGTCGTTTTTGGAAAAGATATTTTGTTGTTGTTTTTTTGTTAAACAAAAAAATGTATTTTTAGTTTGTTTAAATAAACTTGATTGTTTATAAGGTAGCTACAACAACAACAACAATTACTATAAGAAAATTTTGTCTTAACCACTTGAAACAATTTAAGGGGAATGGGGTATATTTTGTTATAAAAACACATAATTTCCTCTTATGATTTTTGTAGAAATTCCCTTTGGCTGGTTTAAGGCACGCGTTATGTTTCTGTGGGTGATTAAAAAGACAAAATAAGAAGAAACTTTAAGAAGTTCATTGAAAAAAATCAAACTAAATTTTTTGTAACACAAAAAGACATTCTAATGAGTTGTTAAGTCTTCAGCATAGCGAAGACATAAAAACATATATTAGGGTTAAATACTTATAAAAATTAGCTTGTATTATAAAAATCTAGAAAAAAAAAGAAATGAAAATCCTATAAAAAAATTGATTTTTTTGAACTCTAACAAAGAAAAGTCATAAAAAACGAAGACTATTTTGTTGCAGCTTGTAAATAAATGGCTAATAAAGTTTTACACACAAAAAAAGTTTTAAATTTCCCTGTAAATTATTGTTGATTTGATTTTGTAAAGCAATCAATTAGTTTGAAATGTTGTAGTTTTCATTCATTGTTTTATTCATACATTAGTACTAAAAATTTAACACTAAAACATAAACATTCTCTATTGCTCAATTTCAAGCAAAAACTCTCCCTCTTTTCTGACA